TCATTTCTTCGAAGGCTTGGCCGACACTTTCTTCTGCTTGCTCGATGTGCTCTTGCTGGCTGGCTTCTTGGCTGGCTTGACTGGCTGGTGGAGGATTTCTTGGCAGATGATTTAGTTGACTTGGAGGGAGTTTTCTTGGCAGCTTTCTTGGGTGACTTCTTCGGCGCGGGCTTTTGGCTTTCTTCACCATTTTGGCTTTCTTGGCTTTGTCTGCAATCTTTGCTTTCTTGGCTTTCTCGGCTTTCATTTCCCGTTCCTTCTTGGCCTTGATTCTCTCCTTCTCCTTAGCTGCCTTAGCCTTGCGGCAGCTTTCTCCTTGGTGCTGTCAATCTTGAACGTACCGGCGGCTCCCTTACCCTTGGTGCGGATAAGTTCACCTTCTCTACACCAGAGTTGAGAGCATTGCGGATGCTTTTGGCCTTCTTTTCGACGTCTACCCCACAGTTTTCCTGGAGGTACTTCTTGATGGCTTGAGAAAGAGGCGCCGCCTTTGCCCCCTAGAGTGGCAATGGCTTCCTTCACCAACTTGAGAAGGGACGGAGATTTGGTGCTGCAGCAGAGGTAGACATGATTTTGTCACGAGATTTGCTGTTGAACAATCGAGCAGATGCTGAAACTGGAAGACGAGTAATGGCCTCACAGAAAAATTTTGGCCGCCTTTTAACGATACGCTGCGGTCGCGGCGCGGACGCACAACAATGCCCATTCATGATCATGCAAGCCCAACCAGCCGAGGAGCGGTGGCCCTTTCTCGGCATTTCCTCTTATTTTGTGTTTGACATTCCAAGTGTTTTGATTCCTTATTTATGCAGGGGTATTTTCTAGAGTTTGAAACTGATCCAAGCGGCTACTACGTGATTTGATCTTTCCACTGATATAAAATTGTACGTGATTAGTAAAAGCCATATGATATAAATCGGCGTTTTAGACGTGTGGGGCCGCACTTCGCCGCTGACCGGTAATTTTGTATTTTATCGGTTTAGCTGATTCAGTTTTGTTTCCTTCAGCGATATTTCTAGAGTTTGAAGCGGGGCCATCTTATTGTGGGTGATTCTCTCTTTCTAACCGACGACAGGCCCTCACAAAAATGTAATTAATCGTTAAATACTACACGAACTTTGCCGAAATAGGACTGTCAACGATAGTTGACCGTTATAGCGCCCTCAACACTCTTACGGCGGGCGATGCTGCTTGCCTCGGTTTCTTTCCGCGCTGATTCAAAACATTCAGCCCTACCATGGACAAATTATTGGTTTATATTATTAAGGTGAATTGTTGATCTGAAGTTGTTGAATTCACTTTCACGTTATGCCCACCCACCATGATTCTGCAACCACTCTTTTTACCCGCTTACTACGCTTTTTTTTTTTTTTTTTTTGGTGGCGGGGGGTGGGGGGGGGGTTTCTCTCTATCTCTCTCTGGGTTTTATTTAAATATTTATTTTTTGGTGAGGAGGGGCTTAATACGAAACAATTAAAAAAGGAACACTTGAAAATTGTAATCATGACAAATAAAAAATATATAAACATTTCAAAGTGCAGGAAAGGACTATCTCTTTTGTAAAAATGTTGTGGCTCTGAAAAGAGCCGTTTTGGTTTGAGTTTGTGATTCGATGATTCATTTCTTCGAAGGCTTGGCCGACACTTTCTTCTGCTTGCTCGATGTGCTCTTGCTGGCTGGCTTCTTGGCTGGCTTGGCTGGCTTGGTGGAGGATTTCTTGGCAGATGATTTAGTTGACTTGGAGGGAGTTTTCTTGGCAGCTTTCTTGGGTGACTTCTTCGGCGCGGGCTTTTTGGCTTTCTCACCATTTTGGCTTTCTTGGCTTTGTCTGCAATCTTTGCTTTCTTGGCTTTCTCGGCTTTCATTTCCCGTTCCTTCTTGGCCTTGATTCTCTCCTTCTCCTTAGCTGCCTTAGCCTTGGCGGCAGCTTTCTCCTTGGTGCTGTCAATCTTGAACGTACCGGCGGCTCCCTTACCCTTGGTGCGGATAAGTTCACCCTTCTCTACACCAGAGTTGAGAGCATTGCGGATGCTTTTGGCCTTCTTTTCGACGTCTACCCCACAGTTTTCCTGGAGGTACTTCTTGATGGCTTGAGAAGAGGCGCCGCCTTTGCCCCCTAGAGTGGCAATGGCTTCCTTCACCAACTTGAGAAGGGACGGAGATTTGGTTGCTGCAGCAGAGGTAGACATGATTTGTCACGAGATTTGCTGTTGAACAATCGAGCAGATGCTGAAACTGGAAGACGAGTAATGGCCTCACAGAAAATTTTGGCCGCCTTTTAACGATACGCTGCGGTCGCGGCGCGGACGCACAACAATGCCCATTCATGATCATGCAAGCCCAACCAGCCGAGGAGCGGTGGCCCGTTTCTCGGCATTTCCTCTTATTTTGTGTTTGACATTCCAAGTGTTTTGATTCCTTATTTATTGCAGGGGTATTTCTAGAGTTTGAAACTGATCCAAGCGGCTACTACGTGATTTGATCTTTCCACTGATATAAAATTGTACGTGATTAGTAAAAGCCATATGATATAAATCGGCGTTTATGACGTGTGGGCACTTCGCCGCTGACCGGTAATTTTGTATTTTATCGGTTTAGCTGATTTCAGTTTTGTTTCCTTCAGCGATATTTCTAGAGTTT